TAAAAGTTACTTTTTCGCTGTAATAACTAATAATTTATTAACTTTTTTGACTTTTATCGTTAATCAGCGTTGCAAGCTATTTGTTATCAACGATTCTAATTTGTTATTAACAATAAATTTATTAATTTATTAACTTTTTGTAAGTTACGAATACATTTTAATACAAGCACGTCGTTTGTTTAAAAGGTAGCTAATAAATTATTGACTTTTTTGACTTTTATCGTTAATATACGGTGCAAACTATTTGTTATCAATGATTTTAATCTGTTATTAACAATAAATTTATTAATTTATTAACATCTTTGTAAGTTACGAATACATTTTTATACAAATACGATGTTTGTTTAAGTAGTAGTTAATAATTTATTAACTCTTTTACTTTTATCGTTAATATACGTTGCAAAATATTTGTCATTAACTCTAAATGTAGCAATTTATTAACTGTTTGCTAATTATATATACATTTTCACGCAAATACGTTATATATACTAGTAATAGCTTCTAATTTTGTAATTTTTCCACTTGTATTATAAATTTGCGTTGTGACCAATTTGTTCGCTTCGTCTACCAAAACTTCACCCTTTGTCCAATTAACGAAAGCAAACCTGCAAGTAAAAATAAATATTCTCAAATCAAAGTCTCATCTGCACCCAAGAGTATATATTAAACTATAAACTAAAAACTATAGGAGTACATACCAGCATAGTTGACCAATGGCCGCTATTGCATTAAGTAAAAGTCCCAATGCTTTCACCGCTTATTTCCGTCAACGTCGGCGAAAGAAAGTCTGCGGGCAATCTAGCTAATAAACGCTATTAACAATACTCCATGGAAAAGCGTCACAATGGGAGAAAACAGGGAGACGTCGACCAACGTCTGCCTTGATGCACATGGATAAGAACGAAGGGGCTTTACGGTTTGCTGGCATGGCAAAACGTAGGCTTATAAAAATCACAGCCCTCGTTCACTGTAACGTCACTTTGCTTCATCGTGTCTGCACAGAGACGCGAATCTATTCGATATTCGTAAAACATCATTCATAGGATACAATGGATAATTTCGCTTGTGCCTATCGTGCAAAATTTTGAGTTTAATTCGAACGAGGAAGTCAGTTTGTTATTCACAGTGAAGATCGAGCTGACTCGATAGAAGATGATGTCGAATGTGAAGATTCTCGTTACGTTGGGGTTGCTGATTTATGGGGTTCTCGCAAGAAATGCAGATGGCAATCGTGAATTTTTCAAGGAAACGAGTAATAAGAGACAGGCTGGTTCTATGTTGATGGAACTAGCAAAGGAGCTTGTGCAAAGATCTTCGACTAGTAGCCAGGTAAATGATATGTACAACGATTGCTTATCGACGTTATGGGAAATTTGCTCGAAGAATGAAGAAATTGTGCGAATATAATTAGCAAAAGCTGTGGAATAAATTTGAAGATAAAATCAAACGAAGTATTGATTTTGAACGATGCAACTGTTGTAGGTGTTGAACCTGAATTTGTCAAATTTGTTACTGCTTTTGGTCTTAAAAGCAGTCGTATTTGGAGCGGGATATTTGGGACACCATGGCTACAAAGGGCGAGAACTAGAAGAAGGTTTCTTTGTTAGAAATTATTATTAAGACTGAAATAAATTGTCAAGTATTTAAAGGGAGAATTTATTTGCAGAAAACGTGGTGTCCGAAGGAGAGATTACATTGGCACTGGGATACTTAATGGGAGATACTTGTCTGTATAGAGCAGCTTGCGAGGAACCTCATGTTGCTAAAGAGTACCTAGGAGCTGCTGAAATGATTATCGAAACGATGAAATTGTTACCCCAGTACGTAGTTTTAAGTAAATTATGAATTTTGTAAGTTGTATGCTAGCACTATTTCTTAACTCTCCTTTTCATTTTTGTTCTCTTTTCTTTTTCTTCTGTTTTTTGTTTTTTGAGAATAAAGTGACAGTTTTTACTAGTTGAATATAATGTTTACCAGGGCTTCGCCAATTGAAGGAAAGTACGAAGAAACAATGGCGGAATTCAGGAAAGCCATTGAACATGGGATTACGGATGGCTGTCCACCTCAATATACCTGCAAAAAGGAGAATATTAAGAATTTTTTGAAAGAAGAGAACAAATGATCACAAGAACTCACCTGAATTAATTTTGAGCAGTCTTTATTATAAGTTTGTAATTAGCGAATACTTCCAGGAATAAATTATGCTCATATGAATTATTTGTTGTTCTTTTACACGTATTATTTATATATAAATATAACGTCCCATTTTTTATTTTTATTATTCTTAATTTATTTCAATATTCTAAATAGATTTTATTACTCTTACCTTGGATGAGAGACAAACAACTTTTAATGTTTTTTAATTGATTTTTAAGCTAGTTCGTTATTTTTTAAATTAAAAAATCCTACGCTTCAATTACCAATACATGTGGATTTTGTTTTATAATTCTAAAAAAAAAAATTTGTAACAGTATAAAAAATAAAATTTTATCAGGGCGAGAAGGATTTGATCGAACGTCCGCCAATTTATGAAGTGACTATTCTACCAATGAAGCTACAGACAGTATTGATTACGTTGTCTTTTCTAACCTATTTCTACATACATTTACATTCTATTATACTAAAATTTTTATTACCTGTTTTCTTTTTCCACCTCTCTTTTCAAATATTATTAGCATTCCTACTTCTGAGTTTAAAATTCATACATTTTCCGTTATCTTAATGTTTTGTAGTATTTTCTTTCTAGAAATAATAATTCTTATTGAAAGTAAAATATATAGTATCTGGTGACAGATACTTTTTCATAAATGTAACGAGACGTTTAATTAATATGTTGAACTTTATTCTACCTGCCTTTTTCAATTTTATTTTGTTTTTACATTAAAGGAACCACATGTCACTCTTACGAATGTTTGAAACTACTGAAAGCTTCGACAAACACCGTGAGATGTCAGATCGATTGCATGACATCTAACCTAACCCACCGAGGCAAACAGCGCTGACGATCAAGTTTTGATTTTTCGCCTATTCACGCCGTTGAGTGTATAAACAATTTTTATCTGTATTAATATTGCAGTATTTATATTTACAATAAAGTGGAGACATGAGTTCCATAGGCACAGGAGTAAGTATATAATGTTTTATTAAACTAAAAGTGAAAAATACCATTAATTGTAAGCAATGATAAAACTTAACCTCCTTGCAATTTTTAGTATGACTTGTCTGCTTCTCAATTTTCACCGGACGGACGTGTGTTTCAAGTAGAATATGCACAAAAAGCCGTCGAGAACGGAGGGTGAGTAGAAAATTAATTTTAATTAATTAACACATTTTATTTTTAAATTTACTTACCTACTCTGATTACACATCCTCAAAGAGTTTTCAGCAATTTCTTGACTCTTATTGTAATTCCACATATTTATTTGAAAATTATTTGGTTTTGGTTACAGAACAGTCATAGGATTAAGAGGAAAGGATGGCATTGTATTTGCCGTAGAAAAGATAGTTACTTCGAAGCTCTATGAATTTGGTACAAATAAAAGAATATTTAACGTAGACCAACATGTTGGTATGGCAGTTTCTGGTTTGATCTCCGATGCCAGACAAATTGTACAGATTGCTAGATCCGAAGCTGCTAGCTATAAGAACCAATATGGAATTGGAATACCACTGAGATACTTAAACGACAAAGTTTCTATGTACATGCATGCTTATACTTTATATTCGTCAGTTAGGCCTTATGGCTGTTCTGTAATTCTTGGTGCATATGAACACCATGGTCCAAGTATGTATATGATTGACCCATCTGGAGTTTCATATGGATATTATGGATGTGCTGTTGGTGAGAATCGATTTATGTAATTTAATAATATTCTTCTTCAATCTTCAATATATATCGATACTTACTCAAAAATATTGTACAGGTAAAGCAAAACAATCAGCAAAAACGGAAATTGAAAAGTTGAAATTATCAGAGATGACGTGTCAAGATTTAGTGAAAGAAGCAGCGCGTATAATCTATCTTGTTCACGATGAATTAAAAGATAAGCAGTTCGAACTTGAAATGAGCTGGGTTGGTAAACACACAAATGGAAAACACGAACGCATACCGGCAAGTATAAAAGCTGACGCCGAGGCGAAAGCGAAACAAGCAATGGCAGAAGATTCAGACAGTGACACAGAAGATATGTAAATTGACTCGATAGTCTTAAAGATATCTTTTATATTGTAAGTTATAATTTAAATACATAAAAATTGCTACTACAAAAGCATTGTCAAAATGATCCAGTCAAATAAAGATTAATATCTGTTGTTTATAAAAACTGGAAAAAACATTCTTTATCTTTAGCGCGATGATTTTCTTTTTTCATAATTTCATAATTTCTTAATTTATCCTAAACAAGAGATCATCACACAAGCATACCGTAAACTTTTTTACCAATCACAGCGTGACGTAACTTTCATCCACCAGAGAAAAATCCATACCGTGCCACTTAGTTAGAGGGTAATCCTTCATCAAACCCATTTATTTAACGCAAGTTGCACACCCATCAAAGGACTGGTCCTCGCAATAATCCACGAGTAATGAGTACGTTTCTCGATAGCGTTAATTGGTTTTATAAACCGTTTTACTCAACGACAAACAACGGTTTAATATCTTTCAAAATCAATACCTAATTGAAACACACAAAAACTGTGTACGAAATCAATAGCAAGAAAATAATATTGAAGAATTTCTAACGAATTTCCTCTATAATCCTAATTTCAAAACTAATATCTATAATATCCAAACTAATTTAATTCCAGCATCAACCCTTAAGACTTCATGACTTCACCTCTAATCGGATTTCCGCCTATTTCCTGGCCTATTTTCTAAGTCACCACCATACACGTGTCCTTGAGAGGCAATATCTTTATTCCCAAAGCAATTGAGTGGACCGAGTATTCCAAGGTTTATAAACAGTATGACCATGTGGCCGTTGATTTCCTTCTAATGGAATCACGACGGCCGCGAGGGGGTGGACAGGGGTCCCACAGTGCCATGGTCTCGCGCATGCTGTTTCTCTGTCGGCGAGAGGGTTGGTTTTAGCCGGCAGCGGTGACTGGTAGAGACTACGTGCAGCCGGAGGAAAGAGGGTAGTTTCACCCGAGCTTTATATAAGGGTAGGTAGAGTTTAAAACTTCGTCATATTGCTTTTGATTGATGCATGCAGTCTGCTTTTGAGTGTCGTCAAAAGAGGAACACGGTTTGTGGAATGGTCAACGTGGTCAACCAACACGTGGTGCACCTTTCTGTTGCCTTTCTTCCTTTTTCGTTCATTCTCGAATCGGTGCTAAAGGACAAGTGCAAAGTAAGAAGAAAATAGAAAAGAAAAGAGAAGAATGTCTTTGAACCATAGCACCGTGGATGATGTCGTTTACGAGGATCAAGTCAGTCCAGTGGTTTACGTGGGTGCCGCGATCGCGTTGGGATTTATCGGATTCTTCGGGTTCACCATGAATCTCCTGGTAGCGGTGGTGATCGTCAAGGACGCGCAGTTACTCTGGACTCCTGTGAACGTGATCCTGGTTAATCTCGTTGTAAGTGATCGCATACTAATTCTTCAAGCGATACTCGACGATTTTATGCGATTTTTCGTGCTGGTCCCCTGAGTTGCTGCGGGAGACTGGTAAAAGATAAGGGTTTTTGAAATCTATATTGTTTTACAATTTTTTAATTGCCTTATGGTCAAATATAAACTTATGTAAATTTGTTTAAAAAATTCGTCGACCTCTGTTGGACATTGACTAATTGAATTACTGTCTTATTGAATCTTTTTCATTAATTACTCGTATCTTCAATAAGGGAAGAGCTTTGGACACATTTATTTTATTAAAAGAGAGCAATTATATTTTCAATTATCATTAATCGTTTTCTACCTGTCTAATATAAAGCAAGACCAAATAATCAAATATAGAGCTTGATTTAATAAAAGAGTAAATGGTTTTACGTTATCGAGTATCGATTGTACAGTTTTGCAGCGCGGAGAGCTAATGGGAAAAGTATAATTTCATACGAAAGTGTTCAGGTGGATATGGTGTGGAAAGAAACGAGACTTTGTCAGCAGTTGCACGAGGGATTGCGAAAGTTTTTAACGATCCTCACCGGTGACTCGGTTGAATTTAATTTAAGAATTCGAGAGGATACAAGTTTCCGAAGGTACGTGGAATCTCGTGTAATACGCGTTGAAAATGTTAAGGTTCGCAAATGTGCATAATTTATGCGAGATAAGCCGCTTACTATGCAACCCTTTCGTGTCGCACAGAATAGAGCAAACTGTGTAGAGAGTTACGCGAATCATACGTTAACATCCTTCCTCTCCAGAAGACTATAAGACTTTGATTATTATTCTGAAATTTCCTCTCCCATTAATCGACGAAAATGTAATTGATAAAGAATTCTAATTAACAGACTTTCCACTAGAATTCATTTGTTTAATTAAAATTATGGGAAAATTGTGATTGAAACTATAGAAAGTAATTTAGATGGGAGTATTTTCCAAATTTCTGTTCAATTTCATTAAAATTTTCATTCACACTGAATCCTGTTACAGATTTATCAATGAAACTTAACTGAGAAAACCAGATCAATTTCTAGGATTAATCTAACAAGTAAGGGACATTTGTTCAAGTTTTATTTTATTCTGATAAAAGTAAATTTTACATTTAATTCTTCGTTCAAGCACAGAAGTATTCCTTATATCCCTGCACACTAAAAGGATCATTAAGGCAGGAAACAATTCAGCGATGGACCTATCGCAGTTTGCAACATTCCAGAACTTATATCTAAAGTCTCGACTAATACTACTAGTTATTAACGAGCCATTGGTTCGCATTCATGGGGGGTGAGAAAGGGATGAAAGGCTGTAATTCGAGGAATTATAGAGAGAGAAGGGGACGCGTATGCTCGAGCAACGAAGGCGACGAAAAGAAATTCTTTTCTGTTGGAAATGCAAATTCACCTCAAAGCAGCATGCTGATAAACTGTTGAAACTTTTGCACGAAAGAATTGTCCTCGAGAGAGAAGTTTGACTTTAAAGGATCGAAGCTCGAGAAATATCCTAGGATGTTATAAGGCATCCAATGGTACTTCAAGCAAATTTTATTCTACTTCTTTAATTTTCCAATGAATTATGTTCGATTGTTGAACTCAAGCTTAAACTTAAATAGGATGTAAATTAGAATTTCTTTTTTGTACGATTTCAACAAACGCGAACTCGAATGCAGAATTGTGCTAAGTTTCAAATCGGACCTCGTTAAACTCATCCCGAATTTGATCATGAGTATATTTCTAGTTATTTGCGAACCAGGTCAAATTAGGTTTCCAGGAGGATTAGACTGTGCCAAATTTCGACAGGATATGAATAACTTAAGTCACTTCGATGTCGAAACCCGTCATGAAATCCCCGAAGCACTTACGCCTATGATAGTTCATTTATTCGTTCGTTGCTCTAAACAAGATGAAAAGAAAAGAAAATTAATATATTTTTTATCTTATTTTATTCCTATTATTTTATTATTATTTTTCTTTATTTAAAGCTTATTTAAAGAAAAATAATACGAGATGAGTTAGTGGCCCTGGTAACTGGTCTGCAATTTTCATAAATAAAGAAGTATAAGGGACTGGGTAAATCCCAACAGAGCTATTCTACTTTATCCACAATGCTACTTTGCATCGTCTGCATGAGTGCTTCATATTTGTACAAGAAATAAATAATCTGCAACAGTCACAGATATAACAGAGCGACATGGCAAAAGCATTTTATATCTCATTACAGTAGTTAGTACTGAAGCAAAGAATTGAAATATAGAATTTGCCATTCGTGGCAATTGTACGTAATAGTTTTATTAATGAAATTAGGAAAATTGATGTGTACAATTTAACACTGAAATTACTGGTTGCTATATGTAATAACAGCTGAAATGACTGGTTTCAGACATATTGTTTTTGCAGTGACTGAAAGCATATGGCTGTACTGCATACAACTAATGCTAACTTTCATTGAGGTGGAAATGTAATTATCTGTACACGTTTATTTTCACCATACCGCTTGAATTACTCTCACACACGTACATTACATTTAAGTGCACATTGCACTGAAAATCACATGTGAAAAAGCTTCGCATTTTCCTCCACCATAAGAGAACCACTTGATTCAGTAATTAATTCACCAAACTCGGTTTGCATAATATTCTCGTTAATTCAATAATGGTTACAACCTACAAAATCAATTTCTCTGTTATCATACTTTAGATTCGGTGCGGTTCTTTCAGCACTAATCTCCTCTCGTGTCTTTTTTATCGTGCAATTATTCGTTGAATGGAGCCACAAAACAAGACAAAAAAATAGGAAAGTTTTTAATTAAAAAATAGGGAAATGTGATAGACCATTTGTAAAAGGCACAACAAAAACGATATTTCTCTGTCAATTGTGTTGATCCATTTTTTAATAACGTTCCTCGTTTCTATTTTGTTTGCATTTAATTTTGCCCACAATGTTTTCACCGCGTTGGCGAATTCGAGATTGGAGGAAAAGTCAGAAATGCTAGCTTCTGACGAATTTCGTTTCTTCTATTATATTTTCATTGTGTATTTCTCTTTTTCGTTTTTCTTTCACTGTGCCAGAAAGAATTTGGCCAGAGAACCGCCTAGTTCAGTGAACAACGCGCTTGAAATTTATGGTGTTTTCGCGTCCATTAAAACGGCAATCGCCATCGCATGATCCACGCTTGCTTCTTCAATACGGATTGATGATGCGAATGTCTTTTCGATAAATAAATTTTATCACACGAGCAAGGAGCTGTGTATAAATATACAAGGACAGAAACTAAAAGTTGAAGTAGAACGGTAATAGCTGGTTTCCCTTGAAGATATTTCATATTTAACTTTTATTAAGTTACCGTGCTGTAAAATAGTTTTATTTCCTTTGAAGACATTTTATCTTGATTTTTATTCAATTATATCGTGATCTAAAATATTTGGATCTTTTTCAAAGACATTCTACGTGAAATTGTATTAAATTGTTGTACTGTAAGGTAATTGAGTCCTCGTTGAAATTATCCTATGTCAGATTTTATATAATTACCGTGTTACAAATTAGTTGGATCCTCTGGGAGAGGTTCTAGATAAGTTGTTATTAAATTATAACGTTACAAAATATTTCTAGAAATTTGTTTGTGCAATATTATTTTCCTTTGAAGAAGCAAAAGCGTTTCAATGAAAATAATAATGTATACATCACATTTTCAATTAATTGTCCATTATATCTTGGAGAACAAAGGCATAATATAATATTACATGACTGGACATTGATAGAAATGTTATTTGATCATATTTTTTCTCGGTAAAAATTCCAAACGTGTAATCGAAGGATAATTTCTTTCAGGTCGGTGACTTCATGGTGGCCGCGTTTGGAAATCCAGTCGCTATGGTTTCCGCCATCACAGGTGGATGGTACTGGGGCTACAAAGTGTGTCTCTGGTATAACTTATTACTTATTTATCGAAATCGTGCCAAAATTTCTCCTAGAAACAACAATCGTAACGCGGTTTTCCTTTCACCCTGGAAGAACATGATCTCTCCGCTGTTTCCTTCCTTCTCCAGCTTTCGTCACGACCACTATGTTACACCGTGGTTTCCCGTGATAGATAATAATTGAACCTGGGATGATGGTAACCTTTTTCCCGCCGTACGAAGCGGTTAACTCTGGCGAATTGAAGGGAACACGACTCGTCGTTTCTGCTGGGAATTAATGGTTGTACAGGAACGTTGAAACTTCGTTTCTTGTCGTTTTCATGATTTGTCGTAACAAATAATATCGCTCGTGTCGTATACCATACTCTATTCGAATAATTCCGTAACGAAAGAACCTGCAAAGACAAAGATTTTTATTTTAAACAAATCCGAGAATGGATTTTTAGCGAAAGAAGGAAGAAAAGTAGTAGAAGGAACGACTGAATATCGCGTAAAATATTTCACGGAATACCTCGCAAAATTATGTCAGGAAGAATTTCTTCCAATAGAAATCCGCGTACAATCGCAGGAAAATAGGAAAATAGGAAAATGTTTTATAAATTAAACTCGCGTTACGACACTGCGATTTGTGGAATTTGTTTACGCACAATATGTCTTCTATTCATGCAACAAGGTGAAATTTCTCATCGAAATGTCCATGGATGACACGATTCCTTGTAAACTGCCTCGATAGAGATCGTTGGTAAGAAATGAAAATCGGATTCTTCGCCGCGAGTCTGGCGATTCTGCGATACACGTGTGCACGAATTATATTTTTTCCTTTATTTTCCTCTGTTTTTTCTTAATAACGAGTTTCGAAAGCAACGGACGTGACTATTAAAGCTCCAGTTGAAAGGAGACATTTTTCGCAGAAATGGAACAGTTGAAATACGGTCAACAAAACCAAGCCTTCTCTGCATCCTTTTATTCCACGTCCCTTAAGAGCTTAATTAATTCATCAACTAAAATTCGAGGAAATTCATTTGCAAGAATCTGTCATTTGTTTGCAACAATTCAAAGCTAATATTTAATTGCCTGGGAACGTTTCGCGAGTGAATTGTTCAGGATTTTATTCTCCATTCTGCTCCTAAATTTTGAAATAAGTCTTTTCAAAGTATTCTTCCATGTGCCTCTCGTAATTTCCAACGATGGTCTATTTTGTCAAATTTTGAATCATCGTTTAACATTCATTATCTTTCGTTCTTCGTCGTAACAGAGACATGTATTAATAATCGCATAATGACACTAATAATCGTACTAATGTCGCGTTTTACTTTTCTTGGTACATTAAAAATGTATTTTAAGTATCTTATATATTATTTTATATATATGTAGAGACATGGATGGTGGTTAAATAATACTAACTATTTATTAGTGATAAAAATAATAATATAATATGTGGTGACGATTAAGCATACGAATATAGATAGATCAACTACAACTACAACTTAACAACACAATTACAACTCGACTATTTCAACTAAAATACAACTCTCTTCCAATCACTCTTCCCAAGGACTCTTCCTTAAAACTCTACACAAGAACTGTCCGCTTCACACCCATGCATCCTTATTTAAAACCATACACTCTATCCTCTTTCATACCCATGCTCTCTTTCCCAATCACGCTTTTCCCACGCACTCCTTACAGCTTTGCCCTCAGTGGGTCACGTAGCCCAAACACTTCCAATAGACGCATTCCTAGAGACATTCTTCACTTGCAACCGATACATCCATAAACATCCCGTCCACACGATCCTAACGCACAGTCATTCATCCTTCCGCACGCACTCTAGATAATACGCTCGAGCCAAACCCAAGCTTATTATTATGCGATACCACGTATATATCGATTATTAAATTTGTCATTTGTTTGCATGCCAGCAGTGAACGCGTTGAAGTACCATTTTCTGTGGAAGCTTCTCATGCAGAGATACTAACCGCAAGTTAATCAGTGACTAACTGTTCTCTTCACTTCCTAACAAATCACCTGAATGAATTTTAACACGTTGACTGCCGTGGGGGTCACCGGTGACCGGCACTCGACTTGGTTACAGCGCCGTGGGGGCCACCGGTGACCGGCGACACGACCAATAGTTAAAATACATAATTAGGGTAAACATCGATACTTATAAATTTCTAAATAATACCATTGTTTCTGTAATGCTTTGGAGAAACTGATGCCACGAAAAATGCATAAAACAAGTTTATACAACTAAACTTATCTGCTGTAAATAATATTTCAACACAATATGCATCGCATAATGAAAAATTCATTTTGGCGCCTTGGGCAAGTCATGTAAAATTCGCGCGGCAGCCAACGTGTTAATCCCATTTGAGCCGACCATTTATCCCCGAAAAGCGCCTAAATGTTGAAATTTCTCTGTAACGATTACATCTTCTTCGCTCGAGGAGCGATTCCTGCAGCTCAGGTTCAGTCACACGAGTCAGGAATACCGAGTGCCATTTTGTTAAATACGTCTTCTCTCGCTCGTCGAATGCAATCTCGCGTATAGAGAATTCCTTGATCCGATATATCAGCGGTCATTATCGATTTAATTATCGTCGAAGAACTCGCACCGATAAAGATGCGGTTCGTTAAGCGTAATCACGCTAACAGGAATCCTATGAACGTTTAGCCCTTTCGTTTGAACGTTACCAGTGGAATGTGTAGATAACTTGTCCCTGAGCAAACGTGTCTGCTCTCGGCCTCGTCCATCCACGTTTTCGATTTCTGTTTGCTCACCTGGTCGCTTCACCTTGCCTCCAGCTTGACAACTATCCCCTTCCTGTTCTACTTTTGTCTCACCAATGTCGTCGCCGCCTTTTCTGCCTCGAAAACACCACTGCTCGGTCGTATTTTCAGTTCGAGTAACTCGGCTTCTCTTGTACTTTCGATTGCTCCACTTCTTTTTCTTCTTCCCCAATTTTCTCTTGACTTCCTCTTCCTTTTGGACAATTTGATGTTCGATCGTTCCCTCTTCGACAATTTTTTCGTCAATCGGTGTCTGTTTCTATCACGTATATCTTCTTCTATTTGTTTTCGTGTAATTATTTGGGAATGGTTTAAATTCGGGAATCGCGTGTTTAATTTTTAATTTGGCTAACTGCGGTTCTTTTGTACTATCGATTGCTCTACTTCCCTTTCGTCCTGCCCAATTTTATCTTGCATTTCTCTGTTTCGATTATTCGATATTTAATCGTTCCTTTTTTCATCATTTTTTCGATGCCTGTTTTTGCCTCGAATATTTTCTTTTTCCTTGTTTTTATTCAATTATTTGGGGATTATGCGTTTAACCCTTTGCACTCGACGATTTTTTGACTAAAAAGGATAGGAGTTCAAAGATTTTCTACTATAGAGCTGACAATATTTTTTTCAGTAGTAGATAAAAAATCTATAATAATTAACACGTAGAATTATTTGATTTCGATACCTCTCACACCGTTACATTATCTTAAATTTGACATATTAATTAATATTAATGATCGAAATTTTATCAAATGGTGACTGAAGGACGCTTCTCGAGTGCAAAGGGTTAACTTCTAATTTGAGCAACTGGGGTCCTCTTGTACTATCGATTACTCTACTTCGCTTTCTTTTATTTGGCTTTATATTTTTGGACGGTTGGATATTTAATCGATTTTTTAAAAATAATTTTTCTCTCAATGTATGTTTATTTATGCTTGCTATATTTTAATCTAGGGCATACGATATTTTTATATAAATACTGTTTTCTTACCATTCACAATTTTGATAGAATTTTAATCTATTTTTCTTTTTTTTTTCTTTTTTCATTGATTACCACGAAATTTCTACCTATTTTTTCCCTTCCTGTCGTGACAGTGCAACTTTTCAATGTACAGGAACCCTAAAGTTGATTTAAACGGATCTAGTAGCGCTAATGAGAAGCAAAATTATTACAGGAGCTCGTAATTCCTTGAAATTCGCAGAATGGTCAGGCGTCGTCGTAACGATCCGAAACTGAAACGTAAAAATCTCTGTGTCTCTTTCAAGCCGTAAAATATCGCTTCGAAGCGACGAAATTAAGAGAAAGTGTACCGAGTGCGGCTTTCCTACCGTAAAGTGGAGTTTCATGGTTTACCGCCGTTTAAATATTCAATGAACCATCCAGGATCCTTTTGAGAGACCAGCAACAACGAGGGTGTATGACGTCCTCTCCAACTACAAAAGAAATTGCGGAAAAATCAAATATCTCGAATAAAAATTAACGTAAACGCAGCTCAAAGGAAATCGAGGTTAAAGACATCAAAAATTTTAATATCAAAAAAATTCAAGAATAATTAGAATATTTTTAATGAAGCTAAAAATAATTGGATAGCATAAATCAATGTAACTATAGCTTAAAAAGAAATCTAATATAAAGAATTTCAAAAATTCGATATTAAATAATTCCAGCGAATAATTGCGATAGTTCACAGAAGAAATTTATTTTCCCAGGTTTCAATCAGAGTAATCGATAACACAAATGGCTGCAGCAAAAAATAAATAATATCATATTAACTATACTTTTCGTTAAGTCCAATTTCATAATTAAAACTGTTGTAGTAAAATTAAATAACGAAGTAAACTTTATATCCTAGCTAAAAATGATTGGATAGCATAAATCAATGTAACTATAGCTTAAAAAGAAATCTAATATAAAGAATTTCAAAAATTCGATATTAAATAATTCCAGCGAATAATTGCGATAGTTCATAGAAGAAATTTATTTTCCCAGGTTTCAATCAGAGCAATCGATAATACAAATGGCTGCAGCAGAAAATAAATAATATTACATCAACAATACTTTTCGCTTAGACCAATTTCATAATTAAAACTATTGTAGTAAAATTAAATGTGGGGGCGATCCCTTCTCCTGCGTTTTGCTTTTTGTTTCCTGTTTTCTGGAGACGTCCTGTGACCTGCGTGACCCTAAACAGGCCAGTTCTAGTAGTTTGCCCGTTCAATAAAGATCTATACAATTTTTCCACCGTTTCCATCGACCACTATTCCTTTGCAATTTCATTTGTTATAATCCCTTTAACCGCTTGCGCTGGAAAGACGTGTCAGGCACGTCGTAATGCTTTTGTCACAGAATTGCCAACGACGTGGTATACACGTCGTTAGGTAATTGTTACAGAAATACTGGACAATTCTGGCACATGCATCTGTGAATTTCTTGCCATCGCAAGTGGTTAACAAAGACAAATTTACATTCGATACGATAATACAGTATTCCTCATTTCGACTGGAGGAATTTAATTTTCTTACCTTCTCGCCATTGTCTTTATCCAAAATACCTAATATCGTCGAAACGACGTCTGTTCTCAAGGTATGCCTGGTTCATGTCCACTCTGGGGTTCGCCAGTATCGGGAATTTAACAGTGATGGCGGTGGAGAGGTGGCTGCTGGTGGCCAGGCCGATGAAAGCCTTGTCCATAAGGTGAGAACGTTCGATTTTCTTTTACTTCGTTTTAAAACGATATTTCGAAAGAGCCATTCAGTCGAGAAGAAGAAAGGTTCTCTCGGTTCTATTGACCGATCAGCGGACTGAACAGAGCGACGCGCGTTCCGCTCCGAAAATCTCGGCTCGTCGCGACGCACGTGCGCGAAACAATTACGGAAGAAATGGATCGTAACACTCGATTCTGTGCGGCTCGCGTTATTTTCCTTCCCTCTGCTATCTAATTACACGGTGAGACATATCGCGTGCGAGACTCGCGCAGAAAGAATCGGTCGAAATGCTCGCGAGAGCAGCGCCGATCGCTCGCATCGATTGAAACGTAACGAAAAACGGTGCAATGAAAATTTACCTGGCAATTTGCCATCATTCGTGCCGTTTCCTCGCGATATAATGAATTATGGAGCAAAGTCATTTACCTTTTCGAGAAAGTGAACAGCCATCGTGCGCCTGGCGATGAATTTTACAGAAGAGGCTCGCTGAAACTCCAGTGGACCAGTTTGTCTTCCTTTAAGTTAAAGAATGGGATTTATTTATTTATTTATTTATTTATTTATTTATTTATTTATATATTAAACAGAAAAACCCATTAGAATACAAAGAGAATGAACGTATACGGAGTTTACAAGTTTCTTAACACTAGAATTACCAACCCAGTGAAAATGACTGGTCCCAGAATTTTCCTTTTTGCAATCACCGAACACGTACACCTGCTTTAACAATAAAATTGGTATCAACTCGTATTAAGAAAGAACTGTAATCAATATATTCACTTATATTCATCGTACCGCTGAAATTACTATAATCCGTGCACGTTATAGTTAGGTACCCATTAAAGATCGGTAGTTTTAGTGTTAAAATAGAACGAAGGCAAACATCCAGAGAAACATCAAAAAGTGCAATTGCTTGATGATTATTATTTGCTAAGGAAGTGATTCGACATGTAGGATCGGTATTTGAGGATCGTGGTTTGTAACAGACAGGCCAGAATGTACGCGATGTTCTAAATGCTCTTTGAGGTACATGAAGGTTTATATCATTAACACTAGATTTACGAAACCCGTGAATTTGACGGAAGGGTTGCTCCAATTATACGATGGTAATAGATTTAGTTAATTTATTATATTAAGACTGTTAATATAATATATACTTGTTTTTAAATTAAACTCATCTACTAAATTTTTTAACTACTTAAAAAAAGGCACGTGGTTTCCTTTACTTGTCAATTTGACAGGTGTCCTTAGAAATAGGTATACAGATAGCGTCCGTAAACCTAGTGTTAAGTAAAGAAGGACATTTAATCACGCCATTTAAAATTTTGTAAAGAAAAAGGAAGTCAATAACTGTCCTCCTAGATGCTAACGAGATGAGATTCAATTTGTTCAAAATAGGTCCATAATCATGGTCAGTAAAATGCATCGGGGTACCCGATCTATGAACTGCAAATCTCAAGAAGCTATGTGATTTATTTATTTATTTATTTGTGATATATGTTATATACTATCATATGTCATATTATATAGATAACACTATCCTTTAATAAGTAACACTATATAATACTATATATACTATTCTATACAATCAGGACGAACGATTCGGAGCATAAAAATTGTAGAATTTTAATCGCAGAATGACGAGGAAGCAACGAGGGATTCGCAAGATCTGTGAAAGCGAGCGGAAATTCGCGATCCATTTAAGATCCATTCGACTAAAGAAAGCTCTCGGTAATTACTAATTCGTGAACATTTCGAGGAAAAAGACAAGCCGATAAATAACTATCCTCAGAGTTTGGAACTTTTGAAGTTACGCTGAAGCGTCGGAACGATGGCTGAGGCAACTTTCTATCCAAGTCCACAGGGCGGAAAAGAGAACATTTTTGTAACAGTTTCGTTATAAAATTGCGAGGAGGTTCAGAACTGTTCGCGAGAGTTCATAACGAAGTTTCACCTTTGTAATTTGTGAAATTTCGCATTCGTCGAGTCCTCGGTGGACGAAAACGGAATGTTCGATGTCTCGGATGAAATAGCGACAAAACTGGAGTCTTTAACCCTTTGCACTCGAGGATTTTTTCGTTATAGAAAAATAGAAATTCGAAGACTTTCGTAGGGTCGACGATATTTTTAACCCTTTGCACTCGAGAGGCGCCCTTCAGTCGCCATTTCATCGGATTCTAAAGATGGATGTTAATTAATGTATCAAATTTACAATTACCCAATCATGCGTGGAATATACAAGTAAAATAATTAGATAATCCATTCGTAGATGAAGATTCTCATAATAGAGAGTGGAATTAACACAGTTTAAATTACCATTTGTTAACTTTTGATTAGGAATTCCACGGTCAACGACCTCGCTTTGACCACTCGACTTCGCGATTTTCCTCTTGGGATACACCTAATCAATTTTCCAATTTTCACCAATCTTTTCCTTCATTTTTCCATCTATTTACCACTACCAACTATACTAGCATTAGATAATCCATTCGTAGACGAAGATTCTCATAATAGAGAGTGGAATTAACACCGTCTAAACCACCATTTGTTAACTTTCGATTAGGAATTCCATATTCAACTTTGACTACTCGACTTCGCGATTTTCTTCTTGATATACGCCTAATCAATTTTCCAATTGTCACCGATCTTTTCCTTCATTTTTCCATCTATTTACCATTTGATTAATCGTGATAAATTAAGGTTCATAAATAGTGCTACATCCTATACCTAATTTATAAATTTTTAGGTAAAGGTAATCGAAAATTCAGGTAAACGAAACCAAATTATTTCTTTAATCCTCTTTAACCACTTGCACTGGCAAGAAATTCATAGACGCACGTGCTAGGTCCAGTGTAACTCGCTGAGAAGCGTCACGACGTGTGTACCACGTGGTTGGCGATTCTGGGACAAAAGCATTACGACGTGCGTGACACGTCTTTTACCCTTTGCACTCGAGAGGCGCGTCTCGGTCGCCATTTAACCAGATTCTAAAGATGGATGTTAATTAATGTATCAAATTTACAATTACCCAACGATGCGCAGAATATCGAAGTGAAATAATTCTACGTCTTAATTTGCATACGACTTCTTATTTACCGTTTTAGAAATATCGTCGACTTTATGGCAGAAAGTCTTCGAATTACTATTTTCTTGTAACGAAAAAGTCGCCGAGTGTAAAGGGTTAATATTCAAACTACCACATCGGAATATGATATATATTTTATTCTGTTTATTTTTAAACGGAATAAATTATTATAATTAAATTATTTAAAACGCGCGGCTGATGAAATGCATGACTGAAAAAAAAAGAAGATGAATTCTGATGAAGTTTGGAACGAAGAATTCGCGGAGTAATTACGAATACTATTTCAGGGGATAAGTTCGAGATTAAGTATGCGCGTGAATCGTTCTCGAGGGATTTTGCTGATTTTTAATCAACTCTGGATTAACAACGATAGCCTGGGTGCTTTGGCTGCTTCTCGGTGTGGACCTCTTTGTCGTTAGATTAAGAAACAACGGCGAAAGGAGCGGTGTATTTACGGGCGAGGGATTCGCGTTAAAATTGCGAAGAAAATATCGGGAGAATGGTCGAATAGTTGGCTGTTTCCGCAATGGAAAAAGGAGCACAGAGGTTTTCTTCAAGTGTCTCTGCAACGGTGGTTAAACGAGGAAATAAATCTTCGTGGCCGCAAATCACGGTAACTCCGCTGGAGACCGCAAATAAAGCAATCCTATGCCGCATAAATTTTTAACTGCCACCGATGTAGTAAACGTGCAAATAAATAAATCGGGAATGCGAATAAACGAAGCGCATATGCGAACAAAACGAATCGAACGCGTAAATAAACGAAGCAGAAACATAAACAGAGATATGAGGACCGTAAAGGACTAGGAATTAATCGTATTCCCTATATAGGGAATTGGATAACACGAACCAGTATGAGCAACTGATACATCGAATTATCGATGAAGCAAAAACGTTAATAAAGAAGCGAAGTCTGCAAAAAGTTGGGAAATGAATCTATTCCCTGTATAGGGAATTGCATAACAGGAACTGGAGTATCTAGTAACTAGTATATTAAGTGATAAACATTATCCTTTTGCAATTAAAACCTTCTCTCACTGTAAATAAATAGCAATTCGAAGCTTATCTGCTGCAAATAAATGAAGCGAAAGTATAAACAGAGAAATGAGGGCTGTAAAGGACTAGGAATTAATCGTATTCCCCATATAGGGAATTGGATAACAGGAACTGGAGTATCTAATAACTAGTATATTAGGTGATAAATATTATCCTTTTGCAATTGAAACCTCTTTTTGCTGTAAATAAATAGCAATTCGAAGCTTATCTGCTGTAAATTGAATACTTTTATCATTTTTACGATAGTATAACGAAGAAAATTATACATCCATTAACTTAGTTTATTATTATTCTATCGGTGTTACTATATTATAGTTACTACTGCCGGGTGAAAATTGATCGTCTCTCGTAATTTTATTTCTCGTCTCATCCATTCCTATAAATTATCCGCTTTTGACAGGCATGCAGTTATATTAGGATTCTTCGTTTGGATCTACGCGCTTTGCCTCTCCCTGCCGCCATTGTTCGGCTGGGGTAGTTATGGCCCAGAGGCAGGGAACGTGTCCTGCAGCGTGTCATGGGAAGTCCACGATCCTGCTACCAAAAGCGACAGCTACATCGGGTTCCTCTTCTTGTTTGGCCTGGTCGTTCCAGTCTTAGTAATTACCAGCAGTTACGTAGCGATTATTCTGACTTTAAGGAAAGTCAGGAAGAGAGCAGGTAATTGAACAAAGGAATGAAAAATTAGAAAGTAGTTTCTCAAATTTCGCGGTCTCGAAAATCTGTCGAATACGAATTTAAAATATTTCGACTCTCTGAAAATTCGTCTTCATCATCGTGGTTTAATTCTTCAACTCTCTTTTAGAATTCTTCGACTCCCACACTTTTAAATATCATTCCTCCATTGCAATATCGAGCCACGAGATTAGTCGATAAATTAGCACCTAATTTTCACGAAGAATCGTGGCAGATACACAGTTCAAAGACTTTAAAGGTCTACTAGGACTTCCTCTCTGCCCTTGTCACGATTAAATCGCGTTTGATATTTTCGAGGAAACGGTGTTCCAGTCGTTAACAGAGCAAACCTTTATAATTCAGGTGCGAGCGGAAGACGCGAGGCGAAGATTACAAAGATGGTGGCATTAATGGTGATGGCCTTCCTGCTCGCCTGGTCGCCATATGCAGCCCTGGCGCTCGCCGCGCAATATTTTAACGTGAGTACGTGAGTTTAGGTACCTTCTATCCCTCATTTGAATATTCCTCAACCCCGACACCGTAAGTCCAAACGATCCTACGAAATTTAGTCGATGAAAATCCGAATTGGACTGCACGAAGTCGTATCGCAGCGGAAATTCGGGCTACCGCTGATTCTCAGAAGCCTTAGTCGTTAATCGCAAAATCAGTTGAAACCGAGAAAGCTACAGAAATCGGCATGGTTGCACGCGATGCAAGATGCACCTTCGTCCGTTCGTAAACCGTGAACGATTTACATCTGCGGAGTGAAAGTATTGTTATAATTTCCTATTACCAGCAGGTGTCATTAACACGTGCAACGCCATGGCGATGGTCATTAAACTTCGTCACGCAGCTGATACTGCTATCTAGACCTGTGATCACGAGCACACGTGATTCCTAACAAATTGACAATCACTTGAAACACTGTTCTTCAAATTTTCTTCGTTCCACAGTAATTGATAACTCGACTCCTTTTATGCTACTAAAAATTAAAAATTATGGTGTTTGATTAAACAATGGAGGAATAACGCGAGGAAGAAACGCTTCATCTAACGTGGCATACTAATTAACCCTTTGCATTATACAAAAATAAATTACGAAGATTGATAGTAAAATAATTCAATATATTAACCTACGCGTGATTTCTTTTAAGTTATTGCAAAAAGTGTCATCAATTTTACAGGCCTCGAGTTGCTCCATGTCTACAATGCAAAACCTTCGACAGTCCAAATTCCAGATTCCATAATTTTCTATAATTTGACTGATTTTTAATTTTAACGCAACATTAATAATTTGACCCTAAGTCAACCAACTAATTCAGCGATCTAGAGTACATTCCTCGATCGATCTTACAGGTGAAGCCGTCAGCATCGGTGGCGGTGCTACCAGCTCTACTGGCCAAGTCATCCATCTGCTACAACCCCATAATCTACGCAGGCTTGAACAACCAGTTCCCGCGATCTCTGAAGAAGATCTTCGACATGAGAACTTCGAGGACCACGGTACCAGACAGTCAGAACACCGCGTTGACGCTGATGAATAGACAGGAGCAACGAAACTGAGGATCGCTGTCCAACAGCTACTTTAACGTCTGTCACAACGTGGGTAGCCCAGGAACCGTGAAACCATCGAATATAAGTACTATCCAGAGAAAAAGTTCAATATACCCGAACAGAATCACCGTATCAACCTGGTTCTTTCTTCTTGACCCTTGGCTGGTTGCTTTTACTCCTTTCTGTCTGTAGGATTTACCTATTCGATCGTGGCCAGGTGTTCGCATCGGGAAGAGCATTTGTCCTAGCGTCACATTGGTCGGGACACTCTATATTCTTCTCGAATTCATCGGGAGAAATCTTTTTAGCAGTTGGAAGATGGTTCGAAGATCGTGACGGGAAGCAGACGGTGCACGGTCGTTTCTTTCCTTCGTTTTTCCGCATTTTCATCCGCTTTTTGCGGTCGCAGTCACGCTGGGAGACTCTGCCGCCTGCTAATTGACTCGTGAGTTTCTTCACGGGTCCTGGGTTCTGCGTGTACCCAGCTCTGCGACGCGAGGTCCTTGGAAATTTTTGCTTTAACGAATGGACATCGCGCAGAAGTTTAATATCATTACACAGGTTTTCGCCGGTAATAATCAGCGAAATTTCTCACGGTAATTCCAGGATAGAACGGATTTATTCTGGTTCGAGTATAGAGCACTGGGGTTTTAGATGCTGCACGGTAAATTTTACGCAGTCGCATGGTGAATATGAAACGTTGATTATACGCGAAATGCTGATTATACGCGAGCATTAAACGAATATACGATTAACCTTGTTTTATAAATATTATGATATGTTATAAATTTCTGAGAATTAAATTAGATACCAAATTCTGAGTACTGTCGAATATTTCAATATCGAGTATCGAGTACTAAGCGTTAAATAGCAGAGATTAAATATTGCTCGAGTATTAAATACCATATATCGAGTACCGAGTGGTGTAATAAAAATTGCAAACACTATACATCGAGTATCGAATATTCGAGTTCGAGCTCGGAAAATACATGGCAAAAGTAGCATAAACGTAAATTTCGCGATAGCAAGGAACAAATGCTAATAAGGAACACTAATACCGAATATTCAAAGCAGTGCTCGTCGCGAAGAAAAGCAGTCGTGTTGCCATAATTTGCAAGTGGCCATAACGAATTAAAAGGTAAGTAAGGGGAAGTACTTAGAAAGTGTGACCATTAAATAGAACGAGGAACACGGTAATCGCAACATTACCGAAACGAGTAACGGGAATTCCAATTAAACCCCGTTTATGTTACACGCGACTCGTTTTAAGGCCCATAAAGCGATAGCTGGCGGAAAATTAATCGACGCGGGATAGGAAAGAGCGACGGATAAAGCAACACGGCAATTACTCAGTCCGTTGAGAATCGGTCGTAAAGCAGATACGTTATCATAATCGATGGAGGAAAACGGCCGATAACCGATCGAATCTCTCTCTGTCCCCTAAATAGAACGGAGAGATTCGACGGCCGCAGAATGGTAATAGTTAGACCACTCTGCCTTTTCTTCGAGTCGCCATGGCATCGTTATGGATGACTCCGCTGTATTACCATTCGTAACACGCGCGATTATGCCACGACAGCGAAAGTGAAATCGCGAGGAAAATTCAGCGACGCCGATCAAACCGACTCTGAAGCAACTATGCGCCATGTAATTGATCCATCCAGGTAATTTCCACTTCCAATCCCAACTCCAGCTCTTCGTTTTCTTATTCTCTCAATATTATCTTCGTAGCTTGCGTCCTGTTCACATTGTTACGTCTGTAAGTACCATTGCGAAGAATATTCATATTTGCGAATATTTCTGTGAAATTCTTTTGAGATAATAAAAATAAAACGTGGCATCGAAAACTTTAAAAAAGGGGACCAGGTTAGGAAGGTTATTTCAAATGTTTTCTTCCTTTGGAATTATTTATTGGAAATTGACGAGAAATAAGGCAGTAATTCGAGTAATTCGAGAATCTTTGTACCGGCCATTTTGTTGAAGTAAAACGCGACATGGAGAATTTTGGGAAAGAGGACCAGATTACGAAAGATGTTTCGAATGTTTCCTTCCTTTGGAATTATTTATTGGAAATTATCGAAAAATAAGGCAGTAATTCGAGAATTTTTTATTCCCTAACTTTCGTCAGGAAGTATGATGGTTAAATTACTAACTTCCCCTAGCGAAAACACCCTAGAGCGCAAAGGAATGGAAGAGGTTAAGTCTATCGTGCCAATCACACGCGCTTCATTTCCGCATAGAAAACGGAAGAAATGATATTTTTCACTCCCACAAACTCAGCCTAACGATTCCATAACCCCCGCGCCACTTCACGGAAGAATAACAAAATTGTTATAAAGCAAACAGATCTATCTACGAAAGAAATTAAATAAAAGAAATTCCTTTCTTTTCCAGATATTTACTCAGACCATTTACGTAATTGCCAGGTAAAACCGTAAACAATTCAGCGAGTACGAAATCTGTCCCGGACCCTGAGTCTGCCAGTGAAATCGAGGAAGCTTCGACGCGCAAGCGATCCGTGAAAATAGCAAAACGGTAACTCGTCTCGATTAAAGCTTCCTGCCTCTCTTCCTCTTTATCCCGACGATAATTATCACGAGTCCGGAACAACCGTGTTATTATATCGACGGCTCGGTCGATCATTATCGTCGGATAATTATCGCGTGGTTGATTACACCGATAGGGCTAGGATTCCTGTTAACCGAGCGTGTAACGACTCCGGCGTAGAAAAGGATTACGAGCTGGATGAATGGGAACCTCTCGGTGTAATCTCTGCCAACGTTTCTTCGTTTCTTCGGCAACCATCCGATCCGGTTGCGTAACGATAATTGGCCGTCCCGGCGACTGTGAAAATTCGCTCGAGACGAGGGGAGTCGAACGGCCAACCGTGGGACAGGTTTCGAATAAAAGCAAAAGCAAGACACGGTGAAATGGGACGTCGGATGTTCGTTTTTCGATTGCCACATACACGGCTCGTGACCGTAATTCCTCATCGACGCCCGAAGAAATCCGTGACGTCTGGTACACGTGGTTGAAAAAGAATAGTCGGGGACCAATGAACGGGAGATTACTTGTTTCGGAAGCTTAACGAAGGATCTGGTAAAAGTCTTGCTTTCACCGGCTGGATTAAGTGCTCATCTCGGGAGATCGAGTCACGTTCGCAGACTTGAATTCAGGGGAAAAGCGGAGTGCATGAAGTTAGGCTGCGATTGTACAGGGATCGTATATTCCATTGGCTTCTCGTACTCTAGTGCTGACTGGACTATTAATTTCGCTATTTGCTTGGGATATGTGTGAAATGTATGGGGGCAGAATGAATTCTGCTGTTGGAACAGTGTGGACAAAGGAGTAGGTTAAATTGGGTTGATTGAAGAAGTATATTCTATTAACACTTTGGAGTAGATTAAAGGAGTAGGTTGAATTAGGTTGATTAAAGAAGTATATTCTGCTAACCCTTTGCACTCGGCGATTTTTTGGCCAAAGAAGGGTACGAGTTGACAAATTTTCTGCTATAAAGCTGATGATATTTTTTGAACAGTAAATAGCAAATCGTGTGATAATTAACACGTAGAATTATTTAATTTCGATATCTCGCACATTATTACATTAGATTAAATTTGATTTGATTTGAAGTCGACGATATTTCTAAAACGGTAAGTAAGAAGTCGTATGCAAATTAAGACGTAGAATTATTTTACTTCGATATTCCTCGCATCGTTGGGTAATTGTAAATTTGATACATTAATTAACATCCATCTTTAGAATCTGATTAAATGGCGACCGAGACGTGCCTCTCGAGTGCAAAGGGTTAAAGACGTGCCACGCACGTCGTAGTGCTTTTGTCCCAGAATCGCCAACCACGTGGTACACGCGTCGTGATGCCTCTCAGCGAGTTACACTGGACCTAGCACGCGCGTCTATGAATTTCTTGCCAGTGCAAGTGGTTAAAGAGGATTAAAGAAATAATTTGGTTTCGTTTACCTGAATTTTCGATTACCTTTACCTAAAAATTTATAAATTAGGTGTAGGATGTGGCACTATTTATGAACCTTAATTTATCACGATTAATCAAATGGTAAATAGATGGAAAAATGAAGGAAAAGATCGGTGACAATTGGAAAATTGATTAGGCGTATATCAAGAAGAAAATTGCGAAGTCGAGTGGTCAAAGCGAGGTCGTTGACTGTGGAATTCCTAATCAAAGGTTAACAAATGGTGGTTTAGACTGTGTTAATTCCACTCTCCATTATGAGAATCTTCGTTTACGAATGGATTATCTAATGCTAGTACAGATGGCAGTGGTAAATATTTGAGTATATTTTGTTACGTGTATCCTCGTGGAAAAAGTCAGAGGTTGATTAGAAGAAAATGGTTCCTTAGTTTCACTTAGGCTGCGGTTACAGCGAATACGTTTTTTACCGAATTAACATTCCGGGGAATAGGTTTATGAGCCATCAGGATTATTACAAACCGAGTAGAATTACGAATTATTATGAGCGAAATGTTCGAAGGAACGTAATAGACGATGATTACGATGGATATACGTTCTTATATTTCGACCGCAAAGAGAAATGAAATCTGCACGAACAATTCTAACGAGTTCATGAAATCACCGAAGAATCGAACGCGTGCAGCATAACCATTTTCGTAAGAAGTTATTTATTTAATTGTTCTGATGCATTCGTTAGAAAATTTACCTCGACTCTCTAACTTTTCGCCGGAAAATATATTTAATCCAAATTCATTAATAAATTTACGAGAAAGATTGACAAACTTAAAAGATTCTATTTTTATATGCTTTATTTACACAATATGGTCTCTTTTAATCATATTTATCCAAATTTTTTATTCTCTTCATATTTGCAGAATTTTCTGACCATGCTTCACTTATTTTTATTTGCGAAACCTTCTTATTTGCCAAAAAGGCATTCAGAAACCTGCAGTCCTGAATTTCAAAGGAGACTTATAATCGCTATCCTAAATTGCCCAAAGTCCAAGGTTTTCATAAA